TTTCGCAACTGTCACTCAACTGTCCAGCAGTGTCATGGCATGGTGGACATTATTTCCTCCTCCCTTGAGATGGGACAGTACTGGGGCCTTTCTTGACGTAAGCCAAGCTTTAGATCGAGATTGGCACCCGGTCCTGCTGTTCATGCTCAAGGACATCCTTCCATCCATCTACCGGGTCCGGGACAAAAAGATAGCCCACCCAATATTTTTTCGCTTAATCAATTTTAACCATTGATATAATTTTTTTTATTGATATAATTTTTTAAATTTATTTTGAACCGATTTTCTCCATTAGGAACTGAAAAAAAAACTTAGTAAGAATTAATGAATAATACTTGATTTAGGGTGAGACAAAAAGATAGCACACTTGTTTATTTACAAACAAAACCAAATCCCTCTGAGTAGACAAGGCTAATTCAGTTCAGTTTGTACATTCATGTATATTAGTGCGATGGGACGAGCAAAACCATTAACACCAGCTGAAAAAAATATCATCCAGCAAATGAAAACTCAAAGATTTTGTATTTCCAGTATTTCAAAAAATACCGGTAGGAGTAGGAAAGTAATTTTAAATTTTTTGAAGTCTCAAGAAATCTATGGGACGAAGAAATCTCCTGGAAGACCACCAGTCGGGCAATTTTAAGGGTTGTGTTAAGGCGCATTTTTTCTTTTATATTTCATCGTAAATTACGAAGTCTAGTCTCCTTCCCTCTTTTTTTCTCTATCTTAATTATATATTTTAATTTTGATTTATGTTTGCATGCATTAACTTTATTATTATTTTACACATGTATCGGGGATAAATCTTAATTTTGTTGAAAATAATTGTTGATTTCGCGATCCATAACGGATTAAGCGGACAAAACAAGAAAGGATTAGCCGTTATCGCGGACCCTTGATCGAGAATGAGACGTCGAGAAGCCAGTCTTTGCGCAACTTTGAAAGACAAAACTGCTATCTCCCGTATATCGGTCTATCGATTGTTATATCGATTTCGTTACGTCCATCATCGATACCTATCCCCTCAGGGACCGCCGCCGAAAGATCAGGGAATCAACTGGTTATACCGTGACGTCACTAGGCTGTATTTTCTTTTGATCTTCTTCATCTCATCTTGACTATTTTTCTTCATCGTCGTTTCGTCTGGTTTTCTTCATCATCTTGACTTCTTCATCATCTCCGCTCCTTCATTATCTGTGGCTTCTTCATCATTTGCGACTTCACATCTTCAATTTTCATACCTGCTTCGCCATTTCACTTCATACTTTACTTTATTATTATTATTTTATAGCATGCCAATTTATTTGTTAAGTTCATTTAACTCATAGTTAACGTGCACGTCTTTACATGAGTAATATTATTAAAGACAATTTTCATTCATTTTCTTTTCATTAAAATTTACTAATTTTCATTTTGTTTCAATCTGGTCAATCGAATACCACGATCTGGTCAAAGAATCGTAATTCAGGAAGTTGTTTAATTTTAATTTATATATAGATAGAAAATTCAATTCAAATCAATAGAAAAAGGTTTATTTTATTTTATCTGATCTTGTTTATGTTTAAATCAAGTAAGAATCCATTTATTTTATATTTTATTATAACAATATATTCCTTATATATGTATAAAACTGTATTATTTATAGTTTTACCCGTATACATGTGTGCATGCCATATATTCAAATTTTAGGTATTTTCATTTATTCAAAAGATAAAAAGGGGAAAGGAGAGTTAAATATTCGGCATAACTATCTTCAATTTAATAACAATATATATTTAATTTGTTCATCTTCTCTGAAATTAATTGAGATCTGGAAAATTAATCCCTACATTGAACCAGTGGGATATTGGGTAAGGAAATCGGTATTTCAAATTAACGAAAGCCTTTCCCCCCAACAGGTTGCATCAAACTCAACTTTAACGGCCCGTCAAATTGCTGCGAGAGTTGGTGTGGTGACGAATGTGAAAAACGTCCAAAGGATCATTCGTGCAGCTCCTCACATCAAAAGAATGAAAATGAAAGGCATTCCACCTCTAAGCACGGCGCATAAAGAAAGAAGAAAGGAGTTTGCCCGTGAACATGTGCAATGGAAAGACGAATGGATGTCCTGTTCACCGTCGAAAAAAAATTCAATCTCGACGGTCCCGATGGCTGGGCTCACTATTACCATCACCTACGGAAAGAAGAGAAAGTGTTTTCCAAAAGGCAAATGGGACGAGGCAGCGCATGATATGGGGTGGTATTGGCTATGATCACAAAACTGACATTGTGTTTATTTCTGGTCGAATGAACAGCCAACAATATGTTAATTTGTTAGTAAACCAATTAAAAAAAATATTTTGAACTTGTTCCTAAAGAGAACGTAATTTTTCAGCAAGATAATGCTCCAGTTCACACGGCAAAAGTTGCAAAAGAATTTTTTAGAAAAGAAAGGATCAGAATTATAGATTGGCCGGCTATGTCCCCGGATTTTAATATCATCGGAAATGTATGGGAATGCTAGGAGTGTTTACAGCGGTACAATTCTAGGGCGTTGAAGAATTGAAAAAAACAATTCAGGAGGAGTGGGCCAAACTTCCACAAGAGATGATTCGTCGTCATTTTGACTCGCTTTTAAATCGTATGATTGCTGCATTAGAAAAAGGTGGTGCATATACAGGATATTAAATTTAATTTGTGTTATTTAAATTGTGTTTTAATAAAGAATTTTATTATTATTGTTCACTGTGATATCTTTTTGTCTCACCCCAAATCAAGTATTATTTATTAATTCTTTCAAATTATTTTTTTCCAATTCCTAATGGAGAAAATCGGTTCAAAATACACTACATATTAATAAAAAAAATTATATCAATGGTTAAAATTGATTAAGAGAAAAAATATTGGGTGGGCTACTCATACTGCACAGTTACATCACGGACCGATTCTTCCAAGTCATGGAAGGCTATTCCCACTGAATATTTTCCTATCCATGCTGGTGTTCCTCAGGGCAGCGTTCTGGCCCCTTCACTATTTTTTTTTCATTTTTTTAACGAGGCCATATAAACCCTCAGGGTGCCGGTGTTTTTGAAAAAAAGCCCATTTGTATGTCAGGGCCGCTGGATTCGAACCCGGGACCTTTACCTTACAGTGATGAGCGCCGTGTCAAAGATTAAACCTTGCGGCCACCGACGCCCCCCCTTCACTATACCATGTGTTCACAGCTGACATGATCTCATCCCGAAGCCATCACATTCACATTTGCAGATGATACTGCAATTCTCTCTAGCAATTCCGACCTTGTCATTTCCGCTCGAAACCTCCAACAACACCTCGTACTACTAGAGTTCTTGATGTACGAAGAAAAGAATAAAAATATGATTGACAAACGCCTGAATCCTCACACACGATTGAAACGTCAGGAGGTTATGACACGATATTCTTGCATGACTTCTTGACAAACGTTCTAATTTAAAAATTAAAATAAAAGGCTGCTTTACAACACCACAATTAAGCCGATATGGAACTGGAAGTGCGGGGTTCAGCCAAAAATTCCAACATCCACCGCATTCAAACTGCCCAGTCCTTAATACTACGAAAAATACGAGATGCTCCATTTTATGTATCGAACCTAACATACAGACTTACATATCCCTTTCGTACAAGATGAAATACGTTCTCGTTACCGTAAATTCTGTAAAAACGTCCCAACTAACGAGAAACCTCGCATCCCGACGAATCCTCTCAAACCTTCCCCGCCGCCTGATGGTGATGGTGATGACAGGGAAAGTGATAATGACACAAGTATCAACTAAACAGACAATATTATAGTAACATTGGAGTAATACCATTGGGTGTTTTCTCCACTCTTGGCTTTAATTTTCTAAATATTACCTTGCTCACTGTTACTTGTTACCTACTTGAATGTAGTTGTAATGTACTACAAATTATTATTTAAAAAAAATATAATAGCAATAAATACAGACTAACAATAACCGTCATCATAACATCTGTTCCACTAAGATATAGCAAAGTACCTAAACGATTATGCGGTATAACATAAAATGTAATTAAATGTGGCATAAAGCGATTTAACAACTGACAACATAGCATACATTTTGTTTAACGATAATGTTTGTTGAATTCACTTGAATCTTCCCACTTTTTGCCATTTTTCAAAACTCAAAAGGTGGGGTTGAGATAGGAAGTTGGTGTCCGAGTGGATCGAGGTCACGNATATATATATAAAATAGCAATAAATACAGATTAACAATAACCGTTATCATAACATCTGTTCCACTAAGATATAGCAAAGTACCTAAACGATTATGCGGTATAACACAAAATGTAATTAAATGTGGCATAAAGCGATTTAACAACTGACCACATAGCATAAATTTTGTTTAACGATAATGTTTGTTGAATTCACTTGAATTTTCCCACTTTTTGCCATTTTTAAAAATTCAAAAGGTGGGGTTGAGATGGAGAGTTGGCGTCCGAGAGGATCGAGGGCACGATAGCTCAAGTGGTAGAGTAGCGGCGTATCAAGCTGAAGGTCGTGGGTTCGAATCCTGCTCGTGCCATTGACTTTTTTATCTAGACTAAAAACTTTAAACCTTAATTAATTGAAAGATATTAATTGGTCAAGCAAACCACGAAACTAGTGAATTGATAAGTTAAAATGAAGTATATCTTCACTAAAGCTCTCCGTGGCCATTTCAATTGTCGCCGAAAGTCAAATAGATTACACATTTGAAAAATGGCAAAAAGGAGAGAAAATTCAAAAGGTGGGGTTGGGATGGGGAGTTGATGTCCGAGAGGATCGAGGTCACGATGGCTTAAGTGGTAGAGTATCGGCGTATCAAGCCGAAGGTCGTGGGTTCGAATCCCGCTCGTGACATTGACTTTTTTATCTCAACTAAAAACCTTAATTAATTGTTTTATTTGTATTTATTGGTAACTCTTTGGAACATTGAAATATGAACAAATTATTAATTTTTGCACGTTTTGTTTTGTTGCAGACCGAGCTGTTTGGCGTTTACGAAATTTTTTCGTATAGGTGAGTCTCTCAACTTAGAAAATAGCCCGCAGGGGTCTTTTCCGACCGGTTATGAACATCTTTATCCCTCCCCGCGGGGCGACCGGTGTTTTTATATTTTCAATATCCGCCCGCGCGCCCCATTTTCACGTTCTGAAGGAGGGAATTTTTAATAAAGTTTTTTGCCCAATCGAAACATCTTCCAGACAGGCGAGTTTCTGAAGTGAAGGATCTCGAAAAGAGTCTTCAAAGACAGAGAGATTAAAGGCCGGCAAATAAATGCCGTTCGTCATTGAGGAAAACTTTTCACTCTTAAATTAAGAAGTCAACTTTAAATGGAAAAAGTTTCACATGGTTTCAAAAATCATGTGAACGATTAGGTTATAATTTTTAGATCCTAAAATGTTTATAGTTGCTTTAAAATTTATACTGCTTTTTTCTGCGGTTTCTTCATTTCAGATGCCAGATTACACGTTTGCTGTGGGTATTTTTTATAGGAGGAATTATAGCTTCCAGTGCGCAGGGGGCATTGTATCCCCCAACGCCGTCCTCACGAGTTGCAGCTGCATCGGGATGTTCGACAAGAGAAAAGATAACTTCTACGACTTCATCCCTTTAGACGTGAACAAATTTTTTATAGCAACTATAATGTCGGACAACAAAACTTACGAGATACAGAAACAGTTGGTTCACGGGCACTGCAAACCTAGCAAGTACGACGAGGACCTGTACGTCTACGATTTGGGCGCGTGGAAGATAAAAGGGACTTTCGACAAGTCCGTCCCAATGATGGAGGTGCAAAATTCGCGATCCATATCGCTGCAAGAGCTGTCTGAGAGTAATCCGATGTGCCAGATCTTGGTCAACGAGAATCCGATCGTGTGGAGCTTACGTTCGTACCGTTTAGACATCAGCGACCCGGTGAATTGCGGAAAGCGCCACTGTTACTTCAGCTCAGACAAGACGAAGGTCGTCTGTACAGATCTCCTCGCCCAGGACGTCAAGGAAGGGACGATCTGCTCGACCTTCGACTACAACGCGACGAGGAAGTTGGACAGCAGCCGGGGTTCGCCAGTGATCTGCGAGGGCAGCGTCTGGGGTATTGTTTCTTCAAACAGAAAAACGTCCGTCCTCTGGAGCAGAATTGATTGGGAAAACAACATGGACTTCCTTTACATGGTCAACGAGACTATCAAAACAATGTCACTGTCTTCCAGTCATTGTTCAGATTTAATTTTAGTTCTGATATTTTCTATAGGATTCGTTATGTTCATGTAAATATGTTGATCGACCTTTGACATGTTATTTTTTTAAATGAAAGTGAGCAAGTCAATAAACGAATTTTGCGCGAAACACGATTTGGCACTAACACCTCTTATAACAAGTGCCAAAAATAATCAATTGTAATCTAGCACATTAACTGCAGAGTCTGTAAAACATTATGCCGTCATATTTTTTATTTCAATAACACATGGTTGTCTTTTTTAATATGTACAATTATTACGAATTATTAATTTATAAGTTTAATCTCTTCTTTTATGGTTTCTGTTTGCGAATCAATTAGCTTTTTAAAACCTCTATTTAATTATATATTTTTAAAGGTGGTATTTAAGTAACCACCGATAAAGCCAGAAACACACTTACCCGATGCTACGCCATGCGACGCTACCCGATGCTACCCGACGCAAATCCAAACTCCGATTTTCCATAAGATTGTATTACCCCCGTGCACACCTACCCGACGCTCTGCGATCCCCACTGTCCAGATTTTCGTCGGGTCGCATCGAGTACAGTCGAAGACAAAAGAACCAAACACTCATATTTTTATCCAAACCTATTAATTACAACATACTTATTTTAATATAAACCAAATTAACTGTGATTAAAAATTAATTAGTTTTTATTTAAAAAAATAATTTTAATGGTTTGGTAGAAAATTAATCAAAACACCGGAATACGATTTTTTGATATAATGAATTTAACTAACAATTTATTGTACTCGCTTCGGCGGTACATATACTAAAATTGGAACAATTTATTACACGGTTTTGCTCATAAAATTTAATTAACAATTTATTTCATAGTTTTGCTCGTAAAATTACACCATTTTGTAATGTCGGGTAGCATCAGAACAGGACACTCATATTTTTTGTAGTTTATTTCAAACTAAGTACATGTAATTTTGTCGTTATATTAATTACAACATGTTATTTTAATGTAAACCAAATTAAACGAGATCAAAAATGCATAAGTTTTTATAAACATTGTTTAATTATGATGGTTAGGAGTAACTTTATTTAAAACAATTAAGTTTAACAAACAATTTATTAGATGGTTGTGCTCATAAAATTTAACTAACAATTTATTACAAGGTTTTGCTCAAAATAGTGCATTAAGAACAAAAGATGCGTTGCGATTGTGATAGTGATTATTGTGATAAACGCTGTGGACTGTACGCGACGTGTGCTTGCGTCGGATAGATGTGCACACCCCACCAAAACGTGGCAAGGCGTCGGGTAGCGTCGCATGGCGTAGCATTGGGTGTGTTCCTGGCTTAAGTTGTCGACTTTGTGGTGTCGTACCCTTTTATTCGATAACTTGAAACAATTCAATAACGTTATACGCTCTGTTATGTCGGTGTTAAGTAGGTTTTAGAAAAACATTTTCTTTATCGTGCTAACGTTTCGATCTTTACTGAGATCATCTTCAGGGCCTGGAATTTATAAACATTGTTTAAATTATACAAATACATGTAGGATAGGAAAAAAAAATTATTTATAAAATGCTAGAAATTTTAGACTTAATCAAAGTGTTTGTTTTCTGAGCAGATGTGTCTTTCTTTTCTGTTGTGTTGAGAGTGCCAGTGAGATAGTGATGTTTTATGTCTATATACTTTGGATTTTGAAAGTGTGGGGAAGGAAGTCGGGATAAAAAGACGTTTTTATATGAGGAGCCGGCTTCTTTGAGGTGAAAGGAGCCGACAGAACCGACAATGGGAAAAAATGGGTAATGTTTCGGCCAGATTATCCTTTCAGGATTATATGGACGTGTATAATTAGGGAAAGGAAAGCCAAATTGTTAAAGAATTAGACTATATAGAAATGTTTGATTCAAACTTTCCCAGAAAAATCATAACGGCAATGATTAGACTATGATTTGGCCATAATTATCTCCCGGTATATCTCAGGAGACTTGATGCACTGAGGACTGCCATTTGTCCATGTGACAACATATTGACGGGCCCCAAAACCATCGTCGGTAGAAAACAGTGTACTCTGTCCTCATTCTAACTATCCGGGAAATACAGAAAGACAAAATAATGAAGGTTTTATACAACAAAAAGTCATATCGATAAACAAAAAATATCTTAAAGACTACTTAGAAGAGCCTTAGGCTGGTGGCTCGGGTCAAATCCGAGGCATGGCCAATTTTTAAATAGAAGGCCAAAACACTTACCCGATGCAACGCTACCCGATGCTACCGGACGCCTTGTCACGATTTGGTAGGGTGTGCACATCTATGCGATGTCAAGCGCACGCCACATACGTGTATCACAATCACAACGCGTGTTTTGTTCTTAATGCACTATTTTAAGCAAAAAAGTCAGTGTCACGAGCGGGATTCGAACCCACGATCTTCGGCTTGATACGCCGCTGCTTTACCACTTGAGCTATCGTGACTTCGATCCACTCGGACACCAACATCCTATCTCAACCTCACCTTCTGAGTTTTTCCCTCCTTTTTGCCATTTTTCAATTCAGTTACGCTCGCACTTTTTTATCTCAACTAACAAACCTTAATTAATTGTAATATATTAATTGGTCAAGCGGACCACGAAATTAGTGAATTTAGTTGTAATTAATATAACGACAAAATTACATATACTTAGTTTAAATTAACTACAAATAAATTTGAGTGTGCTGTTCTCATGTGCTACTCGACGAAAATGGTGTAATTTTATGAGCAAAACCACGAAATAAATTGTTAGTTCAATTTGATGAGCAAAACCTTGTAATAAATTGTTAGTTAAATTTTATGAGCAAAACCTTGTAATAAATTGTTAGTTAAATTTTATGGGCAAAACCATGAAATAAATTGTTAGTTCAATTTTATGGGCAAAACCTTGTAATAAATTGTTAGTTAAATTTTATGAGCACAACCATGTAATAAATTGTTAGTTAAATTTTATGAGCACAACCATGTAATAAATTGTTAGTTAAATTTTATGAGCACAACCATGTAATAAATTGTTTGTTAAACATAATAAAGTTATTCCGGCATTTTGGTAAATTTTCTTCCTAACCATCGTAATTAAATAAGTTTTATAAAACTCATGAATTTTTGATATCGTTTAATTTGGTTTACAATAAAATAAGAACGTTGTAATTAATATAACGACAAAATTACATATACTTAGTTTAAATTAACTACAAATAAATGTGAGTGTGCTGTTCTGAAGCTACTCGACTAAAATGGTGTAATTTTATGAGCAAAACCATGAAATAAATTGTTAGTTAAATTTTATGAGCAAACCTGTGTAATAAATTGTTAGTTAAATTCATTATATCAAAAAATGGTATTCCGGTGTTTTGATCAATTTTCTAAAAAAACATTAAAATTAATTTTTAAAAAATAAAAACCAATGAATTTTTGATCTCGGTTAATTTGGATTATATTAAAATAAGCATGTTGTACTTAATATAACGACAATAATACATGTAGTTTGAATAAAAATATGAGTGTCCGGTTCTTTTGTTTTCGACTGTACTCAATGCTACTCGATGAAAATCTGGACAGTGGGGATCGCAGAGCGTAGAGTAGGGTAGCGTTGCGTGGCAGCGGGCATATGTGCACGGGGGTAATAGAATCTTATTAAATATTGGACTTTGGATTTGCGTCGGGTAGCATCGGGTAGCGTCGCTTAGCGTTGCATCGGGTGTGTTCCCCGCTTTAATCTCTCACACTGAGTACCAGTATTGGGTGGTTTCTCATAGCATAAGTCCTCCGGATTCATCGCTAACGTTAGTGTTCGTGAGAAATAAGCAAACTGTGATCGCATTTGTAATATGTACAAATACGTATAGGCTATAAATAAATCGAAAAAAAAAGTTACAAGGCGTCGCGCATATTTTGTAAGATTTGGTCTTTCTGGCCAAAGTACAGTGGTTACAAACAATTTTCGTGGTGTCTTACTATCAGACATCATCATCCAAAGGGGAATTAACATGATTTTGTTTATAAAAGTAGAAATAAGAGTGAATTCGGTTTGGAAAAAAGCTGTTAATGCACGTCTCGCTGTTCCTCGCTCAAACTGTAACCGTTACAATTTTTCCATTACCCCCCGATCCGACCTCGCCATCGCCTCCCCTTCATTTCAGATAACGCCTTCGTTTAGGCTCCATTTCTAAGCACAGAGGGGAAAAAATTATTCCCATCCTCTCTCGTGATGGCGTATTTAAATTCATAAGCTACTAGCGGAAGTCTTTTCGAGAGGCCTGATAAACCTCGATCCATTTTTGAGATTCTTCTCTAGATAGGAATAAACTCACATTATGTTGATGTTTTCATCATTAGTAGTATCGATATTTGTCTTCTTACTATCTATTATATTTTCTATCTGCAACAAGTTAAGATATTTCCACTTTTAAAATATGGAAAACAATTAAAAAGGAATCAGATTGAAGAGAATAACACCACTTTAGAAAATTGGAGTCTTTTAAAAAGTTCTTCACTAACGAGCAAACGGTTATTATAGTTCAGAAAGCAATTAGTGAAGAGCTTGACATGACCTTTTTGAATAGACATATTTCTTTAGGTTTGTACTAAAGACTTTTTAGAATAATCTGATCCCGGTTCAATTTTTAATTTAGAATCTAATTTTTCTACCCATGATTTGTTGAAGGGTTTCGTTCGTAATCATCGATTTATTAAAAGAGTAGTCAAAAGGCGAGGTTTCTTTTAATGGAAACTTTAGTAACACAAAAAATTCAGTCGAGGTGGTATTGTTGTCCTAGGGAAAGTTTGCTTGTGAATGCCTAAATCCTACTTTTTGCTCACAAAACGTAGCACTCTTGACTAAATTTAAGAAGCACGAGACAGGATGTTTATTTAATTTGACACTGGGCACTCGTTAAAACTTTTACCGAGTTTTACACTTCCAGGTTTTTGAGTTTTTTGTCTCTTTTATTTATTTCCGAGTAAGCAAAGTTGCTCGGATAAAGGGTTAACTATGAGCGACGTCACTGAATTTGTTAATACTACGTTTGTTTTATTATTAAACAATATTTTACAATAATTATTTTGCAATTTTTATTCGAATATGTTAAAGCATTGAGGCAAAAATGAATTTATGTGCTATACATTGGATACAATGATTGTTTGGAGATCGTGAGGTGCGGTCTGCTGTGACGTAGTTTTTAGAAAAATATTTTTTTATCATGCCAACGTTTCGATCTTTACTGAGATCCTCTCCAAGGAGCAAAGTGTTT